TTCAGCATGGTGTGTGTGTGTGTGTGTGTGTGTTTTCAAAGTGTAAATTATGACAAGGTGGCACATGCCTGTAACCTCAGCACTAAGGTGGCTGAGGTGGGAGGACTGTCTTGAGTTCACATAGCGAGACCCTATCTCAAAAAAAAAAAAAAACCCAAAAAAGATATATATTAACTTTATCTCATTCTGACAAAGTTACCTTATTCTAACTATATAAGTATGATATAAATGATATGAAATTATTTCATAATAGCTTCCAAATTTTTACTGTAGTATTAGCTTGTTAATCTATAAAATGTTTATACATGAAAACTTTTGTGAATGTTATTTAAACTTTTGTGTATGTTGTTTTTCAGTTGCTAAGAACGATGTAATCTGTATCATTCAAAATTGTAATAAACAGTATATGTGCTGCCAAAGCAAGCACTTAAAATTCTAATAAATTTAATATTTAACAATTATAATAATTGCAAAGACTAAGATTAAATGTGAAATTAGTGAAAAAAGAGAAGACAGCACAAATGGCACAAAAAAGTCTGTCTACTGAAAGACTAGCAGAAAACTTTCCAAGTAATGGAAAAGAATTTTACATACAGATAAGTGAGACACAGAGAAACCCCAACAGCCACAAGCAGAAAAGAATTTCCCCATGATACATCAGAGTAAAAACCCAAGAAGTCCAACACAAAAACAGATTATTAAAAGTGGTTAGAGAGGGCCAGGGAGTTAGCTTAGTGGCACAGTGCCTGCCTGGCAAGCATGAGGTGCTGAGTTCAATTCCCTTTACCCCCTCCAAAAAAAGTAGTTAGAGCAAAGCAACAAATTACTTATAAGAGTAAACTCATTTACACACCAAGCTGATAGATCTTATAAAACTATCTTTCAAAACTGATGGAGAGGGGCTGGGGATTTAGCTCAGCAGCACAGCGCCTGCCTGGCAAGCACGAGGTCGTGAGTTTGGTTCCCGGTACTGGAAAAAAAAAAAAAAAAAAAAAAAAAACTGATGGAGAAATAAAGTACTTTCATGATAAAGAGTACCTAAAAAAAATTATGACCAACAAACCAGCGCTCCAAAAAATTCTCAAGCATATCCTAGCAAAAGATAGTTAATAATGATGAAAGGGCTAATAAAATGAATATACCAGACAGGGTGAGCAATTAGGTAGAAAGGAAAAATAGGGAATTAGCAATAATGTAATAATAAATAATAATGTAATAATAATATAATAATAATAATATAATAATAATAAAATAATGTAATCACAGGAATAAGTTAATAACTCACAGTAGTAATTCTCAGTATAAATGGTCTCAAGCAAAAGAAACAGACTGGTAGAATGGATCAAGAAACAAAATCCAACAGTATGCTGTATAAAAGAAACACATTTAACCCAAAAAGAAACTCATGACTAAAATCAAAGGATGCGAAACAATATTCCCATGTAACAGGAACCCCAAAACAAACAGGTACAGCTATCCTACATTGAGACAAAGTGGACTTCAAGCCAAAATTGATAAAGGGGCAAAGAAGGTCACTACATACTAGTTAAAGGAACAATCCAATAGGAAGAAAAAACAATTATTACCATACATGCAGTGAACAACAGCACACCCAACTTCATAAAACAAGTACTACGGGACATAAAAGATCAGAGAAACACAATTGTAGCAGGGGATCAACAACAACAAAAGAATTAACAAAGAAGTATTGAAGTTACATAACATCTTCACATAAATGGACTTAACATATTCTTACAAAGTGTTCCACCCAACAACATACACATTCTTTTCAGCAGCACTAAGAACTTTCTCAAAAACAGAACAAATACTAGCCAATAAAACAAGCTTAGGTAAATGTAAAAAAATTAAAAACTATATCATGTATCTTTTTAAATCACAGCAAATATATGCAGAAGAAGCCTTTCACAAAATTCAAGAGCTTTTAGACATGGCACCCAAAGCACAATCCACAAAATTAAAAGGTGATGAACTGATCTTAAAATTTAAAAATGTTTTCTCTAAGAAAGACACCACTAAGAGAATGAAAAGAAGCTACAGAGTAGGAGAAAGTACTTGCAAATCACACATTCTAAAAACGATATGGAGAATACATTTTTTCAAAAATTTACAGTAAGAAAACAATTCAATTGAAAATGCACAAAAGACATGAGCAGACACGTCAACAAAGTACATTTAATGAACAAATAAAAACATGAACAATGCTCAAAATTTAAAATTAGGATAAGATACAACTATACACTTCTAGAGGGGCTAAAACAGAAATATAACACTAAGTGCTGGTGGAAATGTGGAACAAATGGAACTGTGATACGTTGTTGGTGAGAATGCAAATGGGACAGCCACTCAAATTCAGCTTGGCTTCTTTACAAAGTATGAAACACATACTTAGCATATGACTTAGTATCTGCTAAAGTGAAATGAAAATGTACACAACAATCTGTATACAGGGCCTGGGACGTAGCTAAGTGCCATAGCACCTGCCTGGCAAACACAAGGTCCTGAGTTCAATTCCTGGTACCAAAAAACCAAACTAAAACAAAACAAACAAAAACAAAAACCAAAAATCTGTATACAAATATTTACAGTAACTCTTCATAAGTGACAAAACCTACAAACAATGCTAGTATCTTTCAATGAATGAATGCATGATTAAATTGTGCTACATCCTTACAATAAAATACTTAGCAATAAAAGGACCGAACTATTGATACACAGAATTATTTTGAAAAATCTTAAAGATACTATATTGAGCAATGATTGTATATTATATAGTTCCATTCATAAGACATTCTTGAAAGAATAAAAGCACAATGATCAAAAACAGATCAGTCATTCCAGGAATTACAACAATGTAGAAAAGTGTGACTATGAGACAAGGGTTTTTCTTTAAGGGGCTTACAGAACTGTTCTATATCATGTTTGTGGTAGTAGTTAAAAACAAATCTATATCTGTATTGAAGTTCAGAGATCTATTCACTCTCCCATTTTCCAAAATCAATTTTACTGCCCATTAACTTAAATAATATTTTTTAAAAGTACAAAGTTTACATACATTTATTCACTCAAAGAATGTTTTTAATTATAGGTTATGTGCAACACAGTTTAAAAAAATATGTATATTAAAAGGGTGAACAGGAATTATGTGACAGCAGATTTTGATAAACCTATTATACTATGATCTTTTTAAATTATCACAATTACCTGAAAGGTATATATTATTTATTTTCTTGACTTAACAATGTAGAAACAAACTAGAAATTAAGTAATTTCCCAAAGCTGGAAGACACAGTAAGTACCTTAGGTAGGAATTAAACCTCCTGGTCTAATTCAGTGTCTGGCCCAAACACAGGTGTCTAATTAATGTTGAATGAATGTGTGTATGCACAGCCCAGTCTATAATAATACCATGCTGTCATCTGATATATTTATTCATGCTAAATGCATATACTAGAAAAGAATCTGGAAGGAGTAAATGAAATATGTGATTTAATGTTTATATTAAATTCCTTTTTTAAAAACAGGCATTAAGAATATTAAATTCCTTCTACCTAAAGTTGTTTCAGTTATGTGCACTGTTTTAAAAAGACTGTACTAAAACAGGAATATTTATGAAATGTTATCCAGTTTATGTATACTTCTTTTGTTTTCTTGTTTTGTGATACTGGATACTGAATCTAGGATGTACTTAGCCACACCTACAGCTCTATTGATTTGTTTATTTTGAGACTGAGTGTCACGAAGTTGACCAGGATGGTCTCAAAATTGTGATCAGCTGCCTGAGTCTCCCAAGCAGCTAGGATTACAGGCATACACTATCATACCCAGTCAGTTTTCTTTTTTAATGTGCTACTTAATCCATTCTCTAGACTGATCACAATGAAGAATAAAGGGATGTAGATATTATAATTGTCCCCTCCCTTAGTTTTTTTTTTTTTAAGCAGAATATATTTATTGAGAGAAAGAAAGCTTCTGTCTGAGAGAGAGACAGAAAGTGGCCCAAGTGGGTTGCCTCAAAAGTTTCTTTTAAATAAAAAAGTCAAAAGATCAATCTATACCTACAGAATGATTTTAAAACCAGTATATAAACTTCTTTTAGCTGGGTCTCTCTTCTTCATCACCTACTCATACTAAGGACATTTTTGTGAAGGTATGTTTTACCACCACCACTCCAACATAAAGCTCACAGACTCTTTGAATAACTGAAAAAGATGGACGCGACCTTTTAAATGTGATATGCCTCTTACATTAATGTATCACATTTATAGTTTAGATACAAGTTGATTTTAACACATGTGATTAATATTCTATTTCAATTCAATTTCCAACAAAATTTCAAAGGGTTACATGCTAGTCATCAAAATTATAGGTAAGTACTATCCCAGACTATGAAACACTGTGCAGAAGAGTTACCAGCAGGCCTATACCTGGTATCCCTAGAAAAGCCTACCTGTAAGGGTTACTCTTGGCTGGCATCTGGATATTTAAATTTTGCAAGGGTTATCACCCTTTCAAAATCTCCCAGAACTGATAAAGTGTTACTCCGTGTGCCTAAAATGTTTATGCAAATGTGGTTTACGCTAAACACCTGTTTTCTTGCTAGGATTAAAATGTTGCTATATAGTAACCAGAGGGTGCCTATCAGACCAGCCCATCATTTACAATCTAGAAGGCTGAGCATCTAACCCACTTTCCTAATAAACAATGTTTCATTGTATTGTCACGTTTCCAAAGGAATTAAGTATAACCTGTGTAACTCCATTAGAAAAAGACTCTTAAGAGCTTGCACTCCAACGGACTTGGCCTCCTGTGACTTTCCCTTTGCTGATTTTGCTTTGTAGTATACTGTAATAAATTAGCTGGAAGTACAACTAACTAGATGCTGTGTCCTGTGAGTCCTAATAAATCACTGGATGCGGGGGCAGTTTTGGGGTCTCCCTGACACACATAATAAAAGACACCTGAATAAAATGTATACATACCATCTTACCAGGCAATGTGCTCTCGGAGGAAAGTCATTATTCATACACAGCAAATCTTGCATAGATTGTGGAATAGCATCTACAAAAACATTTGACAATGGAAGAGTATGTTCACTTTAAGGCAGAATTTTATAATATGCTTTGAGAAAACATACATCTTACTAGTCTATGTAGTTTTGTGTTGCTTAAAGATTTGTATCTAGGGCTAGCTCTAAGATTTAGGAGATGGGAGAGTGATTCTCTTTTCCCTTCTCCAAACAAAGGCAATCTATAAAGAGACAGAGGAATGGTATGTCATTTCCATATTCATGCTATTTCTGCTTTTAAATCATGACTTAATTCCTCACCCATACTAGAAAGCATCATTTGTTCTTCTTGGCCTGTCCTTGTCTCTACTTTCCTTCAAAACTCTACTGAGCTCTGTAAACTCCACCCGCAAGTATTGTCACTCAAAGTAGCTTTTTCTGTGACGTAGGCCATCTTAAATTTTTTTGTAAACCTCTACCCAGCTTTTTACCTCTAACCCCTATTATCTTTAAACATTTCAACTATAATTCATAATAAAATCTAGTATTATTTATACTTATACAGAAGTTTAAAGCATAAAGAATATCGTGCATAAAAAAATTTCCTTCTGTTGGGTTACTATAATTACTTAGCAAATTTATATTCTGTTAATTTGCTAAAATAAATGAGCCAGTACTAATGATTTGACGCTCCACTTAACCGAAAACAATAAGCAGTTCCAGGCCAATAAATTCCACTGCTCAAATCTCACATCCAAGAGAAGTGTTAATTGTGCCTTTCTAAATAACTAAGCTGATGATTTGTAACTTCTGCATTATTTATAGCTTTATTCACAGATAAACAAAGAAAGCTGTACAATATGCACTTACAAACAATACTACTTTAGTTATTTTTTCTTATTCTTTTATACTATGGTCCTCTGCATCAGTTCATCTCAGAAACACTAACTCAAAACCTCCTTATTTTAGGAGCTTTTTGTTCACATATTTCCTCATATTAATAGCATTTAAAATTTCTCTATCTTGAACACTTTCTTTCATTAGTAAGTACCAGAATATTTGATTACAAGCTGGGAGTGGTGGTGCATGCCTGTTATGCCAGCACTCGGGAGGTTGAGGCAGGAAGATTAAAGTTTGAGGCCAGCCTGGGCTACATACTGAGTTTAGTTCAAACCAAGCCTAAACTACATAGCGAGACTGTCTCAAGAAAGCACACACAGAAAATGTTGGATTCAGAGAGCCTCGGCCTATTATCAGACTTCCTACCAACTATCACATTTCCTTTTTCTTCTTACTCTTCAAGTCCACATATTCATACTCTAATTATTTTATTTTGCTATATTGCTATCTCACAAGTGCATGGTCAGTGTTTCTGTGCTAGTTTATAACTCTGAAAGCAGGTGTTACCTGTTTCATCTGTAGGAATATGGTGTGGACAGGCAGAGCCTGGGGTCCTCACCGAGGAAATCATGCCAAGTTTCCTTGGTGCAAAGCAGATTGCAAGCTTCCTGGTGGGTACCACCAGAGATGTGAGTGCTGAAGGGCTTGGTGGCTTCGTGTGCATGTGAGCCAGGCTATGACCAGATATAACTGATGCTTGTAACTGCTTTCTATAAAGTCTTGTCAATTCCTTGGGATTTGGGAAGAAAATCTCTGGTATCATTCCTAGTGAAAGTAATGGGCTTTCAATAGTCCATCCAAGAAACACAGATTTTTCTTTTAAGTTTCTTCAGGAAAAAAAAGGGAAACTAAAGGGAGCCTTAGGCTTTACAGACTCAAGAAAACGAAAACGTTTCTGAATATAGAAGATCAGAAACTGACAACTTGTTCCGCAACACAGTTCTCACCTATAAACTGTGAGAGAAAACTTGCTGCCAATTGTGGGACTGACTAATAATCGCGGCAGTATTTGCCACTTTCATAGTGTACTTCAGGTATTTTATTTCTGTTCTGCTTTTAAATCTGGAGTGAAGCACTTATTTAATATTATCTTAAAGAAGAAAGAGGGGTTAAAAGATGAAGCCAATCAAAAAGACAACTGTAAAGACTGTTTGCCAAGTTATTAACTTCCATGCAATCTATATTTAGTTTACATGCAGCTTCATCATTTCAGCTGAACAGCTTCAGGCTAGTTTCCTCTTATATTCAGAGAAATACACTGATGAACTTGCCACTCAACCAAGACAACTGCTTCACACACTCAGGGAACGCAACCCTATGCATGAAGAGTATTTCCAGCATGATCACAGGAATTATCACAGTGTATTTTTGGAAACATTAAAAAACATGCCAACTCCTAAAAAAAAGAAGTAAAAAATGTGGCAGAATTATCTACAAAGGTAGAAGAAAAACCTCACCAGAAAGAGGAAATGAAGAGCCAAGGATATAGCTCAGCGGCACAAGAGCCTGCCTGGCAAGTGTAAGGTCCTGAGCTCAATTCCCGGTACCAAAACAAAAAAAAAAGAAATGAACCAAATTAACAGCACAGAGATAGACGATATGAGCAATCCTGAGGACTATGAAGAAAAACTCCCAAAAGGGAATAGAAAAAACATGACACTAAATTTGGTAATATGAAGAAAAAAGTTCAAGTTTCCATGGAACATCAATCATCAGATGAGAACCAGACCCAAACTAGTTAAAAATGAAAAGCTACCAATGACACACTGGAGGCTCCCCATAAAGTAATCCCTAAGTGTGTTTCTTAAAAAGAGAGCATAAAACAAACACAAGAGAAATCAAAAGTTAAAATAAATTGGTTAAAAAGTCTGCAACAAAACAACCCAGCATTTCTTCTAAGTTCTGTAGTCTTGGAAAACAAGACAAACCAAGGATCCAAAGGATAACCTAAGGAAAATGAGTATGATTTTGAAGTGGATTTTGGGAAGCATAAAAGTGATAATATAACTAATGCTTGTTGACTTGAATTTCCAGAAAATATTAAACCTATGATGCTAATGAAGGTAAGCCCATAAATAAAAGCAACCTGGTTTTGAACTAGTGGAAAAATTATTTCAAGATCAGCTGGTATTAAGGACTCACTGCTTGGAGTTTAATAGAAAGAGAAGATTTTCAGAACATTAATGTGCCAGTACATGAAAATGAGATCTCCAAAGTAGATGAGAGTTCTGAAATTTCTCCAGCGCCAAAAGCAGAAATGAAGACCTTGAAATGGGCAATTTCACAATTTGCTTCAGTGCAGAGGATTGCCGAAGACAAATATTTCTGTAAAAACTGCCAGATGAAGTGTTCAGTTTGACAAACTGCCTGAAATTATATGTATTTATTTGAGGTGCTTTGTGGCTAGTGGCTTGGAGTTTGACTGTTGCAGTGGTGGACTTTCCAAGATCAACACTCCTTTAATGATACCATTTAAACTGTCGCTAGAAGAATGGCCCAACTAATGACAGCTATGGATCATTTGCAGTTATAATGCACAGTGGTGTTACAATTAGCAGTGGGCATTACACTGCTTGTGTTAAAGTCACTGCCTTCAACAGCTTAGAATTAGATAAGGAAAATTTTATGGTTGACCATATGTGTGAAGTAGATAAGCCAGAACCAATGAATGAGGAGGAAGTGAGGAGTGCAGTTGAAAATTACTATGGCAAAGTGTCAATGAGGATTGGTGGAAATAGTCAAGTAACTTTTTTTGTTTGTTCTTTTTTTGAGACAGGGTCTCGCTATGTAGTTTAGGCTGGTCTTGAACTCACTATGTAGTCTAAGCTGGCCTAAAACTCACAGCGATCCTCCTACCCCAGCCTTCCAGGTGCTGGGGTTACAGGCATGCACCATCACACCCAGCCCAAGCAACATTTTGAACAACTACAACAAAAAATATATAGACACTATTGGATTTCTCAGAGGACAAATGAACAAAACCAGGTTATGAGCTCTGTAACAAAGCATTTAATCCTAATAAGGCTGCTGGTACATTTGCTGCAAGTAGAAATTCTAGGCTAACAATACTAACTGGACCCATGAAACTGGATAGGGACAAGGAATTAGTGAACAAACAGGCATTTACATGAGTAGATCTGAGAACAAAATTTCCTATGTAGTGCAAAGCTTAGAGGAATATGAAGGGAAGCGGTTCCTTCTTGATGATTCTGGGGTGAAAGTTACCAGAGAAAGGACTTTTTGAATTCTCTTTCCTCTTCTACACCTACTCATTATTTTATAAGAAATTATAGAGTGGGTTTATTTTCCTTGTGTATACAATATATTAAACAGATCTGGCCAACACTGGTAGAATTGGTTAGAGCAAAGAGTGTTTTAGCTTATCTTTTAAAGTTACTGGACATAAAGCAGGAGGATCACTGTGAGTTCGAGGCCAGCCTGAACTACATAGTGAAAACATGTCTCAAAAAAGACAAAAAAATAAGTTATTGATCTTTCTAGGTTTTTATATAATAGTGAGATGTGAACTACTGAAAACCATGTTAATTTTCAGAATTCATTTTCTTTTGTAGAGACAAGTGACGTGTCAGCCCCTGGGGACAAACGTGTATAGTTATTAATAAAATTATCTAAAATGCAGGAATTTAAACCTTCTGAATATATACCAATCTTATGTGTTTTGCTTGCTAAAATAAAGTGCTTATATTGGTATTCTCCGTATTTTGGAGAAATTATGTTAAGAAAGAAAAAGAGAAAGTCATACAATGCTATTCCTCCACAAGAAAAGGCAGGCCTATACTTGCAAATGATAATCTACTTTAACCACAAAAACTCTTAACACAATCTGCATATTTATTTTTTAAATAAATACAGAAGGGTAGACTTGCTATCCACAACTTTGCTTTCCACAGATTCTGTTTCCAAATGTAATCCAAAAATATTAAATGGAAAATTCCAGAAATAATTCATAAGTGTCAGTTTTTATTATCATATACTGCTATATTTTTTTACTAGTAATCAGCAAACTCTTACTCTGCCCAGTTTATAAATTATAATTTATCACAGATTTATTTTTTTAAATAATTGTATTTATAGGATTTGATACTATCTGTGGTTTTATTAATTTATTAATAATAAATTACTAATTCAAAATTATAGCCACTCTTAAAAGTCAAGGCTATAAAAACTTACCTTCTAATACTTCATCTTTTCCTTCTTTATCAATGGACTCTTGTACAAGATAATGATGAGTGATAGAAAACTTGAAGTCAGCAAAGGAAATTTCATCTGATTTCTCTTCCCATGTGCCAGAAGTAAATATACCCTGTATTTAACAATAAAAATGGGAAAAAAAATCCACCTTATTCAGTAGTTACTGCTATATTTATTAATTACAGTGGGATTTTTTTCCTTTTTCTGTCCAGTAATCTTTAGGAGTTTCATACTATAGCTGCCCTCCATATAAAGCAAAAAGAAAATAGAAATGATTTATCACAGAGAAAAAAGTCTTCTAGAATATTAACTACTGAGTGCCTTAAAAATTCTAATTTTCAAATGATTTTCTTATGAGTCCCTATATAAAATCATGAATACATAGTAAATCTCATGCTCTTCACATACACATAAAAATCTCTCTACCAATAACAGATTTCTATTGGCAATTTTAAAAATGATATAAATTTTAAAAGCCAGGAAAAAAATACATGGCAGCAAAATATACTTTTATTATTAAAAAAATCTCAAAACTGGTAACATCTCTATTATAGCACATAGCTTCATACAGTAATTTATAGAAAGAATCAATTTAAATGATATGACATTTGTAGCACTTTTTTGCTAAAGAGAGGCTTCAAACTTTTTTTCTCAAGGTTTGGTACTCTAAACTCTTCAATTCTGAAAAATAAGTTCTTAAATGAAAAAGATATTTTAAGTTCCAAAGAGTGCCTTACTTATATACCTCTTAAAAAATTTTTCCCCCCACAGGGCCTTTAACTTTGTTGTTTACAGAGGAGACGTAAACAGCAGTACTATGAGATGGAAAATATCAAACAAGCACTAGGCCAAGCACAGATAACCCCAAATTAAACAAAATATACGCACAACGATTCTGTAAATTACTAAAGCATTAAGAAATGTTTTAATGGCTAAGCATTAAGAAATGTTCTCATGGCTCTATCTTAATGTTTTATGTGTATTACTGGCAAGGTATCTACAAATCTAAATTAAATTGAGCCATATTTTTAAAACATCTTAAGGATATCTTACTATATAAATATAAAGAATATCAATCTTTTTGCTGGGTGTGGTGGCACACACCTGTAATCCCAGCACTTGGTAGGCTGAGACAGAAGGATCGCCATGAGTTCAAGGCCAGCGTGGATTACACAGTGAGACCTTGCCTCAAAACCAAAAACCAAAAAAAAAAGCTAATCTTTTTATAAGGATTTTCAGGTATATTTAATCAAAAATCATAACTTTATATGTATACCTTTTTAATGAAGGTAATCTACATTAAAGTGGCTATCTACAGGCTATCTAAGAAGTATCAAGTTGCAATAAGTAATATAAGGATATACATAAGAGCTTAGTTTGCTAGTAGCAATGCCCAATATACAGAAATTAAGACTAAATACACAGAACTCCAGAAAATCAGATAAATCCTTCTTTAAAGTCTGCAGAAAAGTGAAATATTCTCTGTAAATGATAAGAAATACTATCTGGTCCTCATCTTATATTCTAGGTAAGACTATCTTACCAATAGGTACCTGAAGGAGAATTTGGTTGTATTCAATAACCCAGGTTCTGTTTCAAAATAATTTAGCTCAACTAAAGGTATCAAAATAATTAAGCTCAACTAATGTCCTCCTTTTAATTCCATTATGATACAGTTATTTGACACCAAATTCTAGTGCGATGTATATTTACTATTAGAAATAGGAATGACAGCTCTAGTTCATCAAAATGAATCTAGTAATCCATCAAAAATAACCTTTAAACAACAGGCATGATGGTATATGCCTGTGATCCCAGGACTCAGGAGGCTGAGGCAGGACTGTCATGTGTTCTAGGCCAGCATAATTAGTTCAAGGCCAGCCTGAATTATAGAGTGAGACCCTGTCTCAAAAACGAAAACAAAAACAAAAAAACCCCCAAACAAACCAACTAAAACCAACTCTGTTTTACTGTCCAACCAGACAATAAAAATAAAGCTAAACAAAACAGAGCTGTATTCAGATTACCTGATCATATATATAGACTACGTAAAGGAATCTACAAACAAGCTACTAAAACTGATGAGTAAAATTCAAGGTATATATACAAAAATCAACTTTTTAAAATATATTACCTACAAACTCTTAGAAAGTAAAAATTTAAAAACTGCCACTCTTAACAAACATAAAAATATAAAATATAAACTAAAAGACAGACAAGCGGGAATCTTACTTAGAAATACTTCAAAACAATACTGAGCGCTGATCATGATGGCGCATTCCTATAATCTCAGCACTTCGGAGGCTGAGGCAGGAGGATCGTTGCGAGTTTGAGGCTAGCCTGGGCTATAAAATGAGCTCAAGGCCAGCCTGAACTGCACAGCAAGACCCTGTCTCAGAAAGACCCAAAACAAAACAAAACAAAACAGGGGCTGGGGATTTAGCTCAGCGGCAAAGCGCCTGCCTGGCAAGCACAAGGTCGTGAGTTCGGTTCCCGGTATCGGAGAAAAACCAAAAAAAAAAAAAAAAAACCAAAACAAAACAAAACACCCAAAAACCAACCCCTCCCCAAAAAACCACAAAACCCAATATGGAGAAATATCAAATACATACTAAGAGGTCTATGTGATTAAAAGATATCACACTGTTAAGATGTCAATTCTCCCCAAGTTGATCTATAAATTGAACATAATCCCGTTAACACTGTAGCAAGCATTTTCTAGAAATCAACAAGCTGATTCTAAAACTAACATGAAAGTCCAAAGGACCTAGAAGATCTAAAATAATTTTGATGAATAAGAATATTACCCAAAGATTTACTGTCTAAGGTAATTAAGACAATGTACTATTTGCATAGAGACAAATAGATCAAAAAAATATAGAGTCCAGAAATAAATTTATAAGTATACTTGATTTTACAACAGAGGTGCCACCAAACTCAGTAGGGGAGAAAATGTTATTTTAAACAGATAACACTGGACTAATAAGATAATCACAGAAAGAAAAAAAAGAAGAGACTATTTTGTATTTTGTGAGGATTGCTGCAAGTGAGACCAGGTTGGGGTACATAGTGAGTTCAAGGTCAGCCTGAAATACACAGCAAAACCCTGTCTCAAAAAACAAAGTAAATAAGTAAAATAAAATTAACAGTACACAGGAAACAGGTCCCTTAGACAAACATAATTTCAAATCTTAAATCAGATCTAGGAACACAGTATCATCCATGATAGTAGTCAGTGTCACTTGCGTATAATTAACTGTGTAAGATAGTCAGGAATTTAATAAAAATAATGGCCACAATTATAAAGAACAGAAGAAACAAGATCCTGATTTAGACTTGCAGCAATAACTAAAAACTGATGGACAGTTAAAACAAGGCCTCAGATAACATGCACAAAAATAAATAAATAAATACGAAGGAGATCAAGAGATGGATGTGAGAGATAGAAGGGAAAGGAAAGGGAAAAAAAGAAATTAAGATATATGATGTACATTTACCAACTCCCTACAAGGAATGTAAATATTATATACTACAAATATGTATTAAAAAAAAAAGCCACAGCCCAACCAAAAGTAGCACTGTAGGAACCCTAAACTAATTCCCAAAATATCAGCAGACCTTTAAATTTCTAAAAGAAAAAAGTGGGAAATATGAAACTTAGTAGGTGTTAGATGCAATCTAGGTATAATTTAAAGTAGACAGAGGAATGTGCACATACCACCACAATTTTTTTTTTTTTTTTTT